AGCTGATTAATGGGTTTGTATGCGGTCCAATCATTAAAGTGTTGTGTATATGCTGTTTGATGTCTGTAGAGTTTGTAACAAGTTGGTTTGGGAGCTTGATATTAGAGAAATGAATAGGAGTCTTGTAGCGGTCAAGTATACTGTTAATTGCATGAGTGGGCCTGGAAACAAGAGTTTCACATCTCTTTTCTAAAGCTTGGTTAATTTGTTGTCTAAGGTGAAGTGAATATTCTAAGTAATATGCATAGTACACCTGTTTCCAAATAGTATAAGCTTCTTCAAGCCATACTTTAATATAAGCAGGATCCAATATTGAAGGTGACTGAAGATTGCACTTTGTAATATATATTGGTTAATTAATAAGATATCTAAATGAATGTAATACAGATATATATCTGGCTAGTTAGTATTAGAGCAGATTGTTTTGATAAGGTGGCTGAGTTTTTTAAGTCCTGTATAGAGTGCAGTGCAGTGTGGGCTATACTTATGGTTATAGCTACATTTGTGTGTGACTTTGTTAAGAACCTTTTTAATTGCAGCCTGTATGATATAGTGCTAGATCTTATACCAAATGCTATCAATGCTAATGGTAGAGTTGGTAGAGGTAGAAATATGATATTGTTGAAAAAGTTCAGTGGCAAAGTCAGAAAACTCCAGCCAGTGGTTAGGAGATGTTGATTTATAGTTAAAAATTCAGCAACAGATATTGGTACATAAATGAGGTGGTTTACTATATATATTTGAAAAGGTCCAGGTAGTAGAAAGTATGAGGTAGTCACCAAGTGTGTTTGTTTTACTATTATCAAGATTGTAAGCAAGGAGAAATTGAATGTTGAATGAGTTAGTTCAGATGTAGTCAATTCTGCTAGAGCTTGTATTGTTAGACCAGGTATGTGAGATATTGTTTGAGTGGGAGCCGATATCAAACATGTTTGAATGGTGTAGAAAGTTTAATATATTAAGTTTAAATCTGGCAGAGAAGTTGAATATGTTGTCATGTGTATTAAAGTCACCAAGAACAATAGGATAAATATTTTGCTATTAGGCTTGCAAAATCCAGCTAATGACAGTGTTTTGGGTGGTGTTTTTTCGAGAGGAGTCAGTAGAAGAGAGATACACAGATATGATTTGAAGCTTAATAGGGTTTTTAAAGAAGAGATCAAGTGCGATTGCACCACCAGGGTGTGTTTGGCAACTATATATATGAGGTTTAAGAAAACTGCATATCATAATAGCAGACTCTTTAGCAGAGCTGTCAGAGTTTGCCCAGTAGTAAGTATAAAGATTGTTGTTACAAAAGGATAGTTTTGTTTTATATGAAATTTTGTTTCAGTAATACTGGCTATTGTGATATTATGGTAGTTACAATAATCTTGCCAAATTTGTCTTTTAGAAGGAGTGTTGAAGCTCCAAACATTATGTGTAGCTATAGTAAGATGCAAGTCACAGGCATTTCAAGTGGAGTTGATGAATTAATAGGTGATAAAGGACAAGTATAGAAGAAGGATGTGGAGGGGTTTGATAAGTTTGTATTAAGAATTGGTGGGGTGTAGAGGTTAGTATTGTATAAGATGAAAGCAGGTGTTTGTAAGGATGCAGATGAGTCAATGAAGAGAGAGTCGTCAATAGGAGTTGGTATAAAATGGTTATTATTTGTAGTTTGTGTATAAGATTTGAGAGTGGTATATCTAAACCAGTGAAGTAAGTCTTATGAAGTGATTTGGAAGTGAGCAGTTTTCGTTAGATAGATAGATATGTGCTTCTTCATAATTATTATCTTCGTCTTTCTTGTTAAGAATAGAGATTCTAATATAGTAAAGTAAATAGTATAAGAGGAATTCTTGAAAGATATAATGTAAAAAGGTAGATATTGTTTGTAGATGTTCAAGTGGAGGTAGTTTATAATAAAAAAGAAATTTATTGTAGCATGTATGAAGATCTATAGTTCCAAGTATTTTTGTTACTTGAGTAATTGTTTTATAAGAATATTGGTTTAGTATGTAGTAATCTTCACTATTGTATTCTTTTTCTGATATTACTTCATATAATAAGTCAGAAAGTTAGTTGTTGTTGATATTTAGTGTAGTAGGTAGATTATAGGAGGTTAAAGATGTTGAAGATGATACCACCAGAGAATTATCTTTTGTATCGGTCACTATATACCTGGCTTGCATAGTTCTACAAAAGTTAGCAACAATCAGGTTAACGTTAGAGAGTTGTTTAATCCTAACTCTTCTGGGTATATATATATATAGGTCTCACCTTAAATATTATATATATATATATATATATATATGAATTTATCCCATGGTGATCATCACCAGGGTGCCTATATCTCAAAAACGTACTAAGTAAACGGGATCGGGTTCTCTAAGTAAAAATGTTCAGAACCCCCAAAAACCTAACCTCACAAGAACTAAGATCAGGCCCTAACGGGCCCTTATAGTTTGTCTATATTATTTTATATAAAAAAAAAATAATTCTCTAATTTCTAACTCTAACTCTAAAAATAATTAGGGGTGGTGATGATCACCACCGGTTATTTTAAGTATATTTCTATATATATATAATATATATATATAAATATATATATATATATATTATATATATATAAATATATATATATATATATTATATATATATATATAATATATAATAAAATATAGGGCATTGCTATTCACACCATAGTTACATGAAGATCTCTTCGATTTTGTCACTTTATTGTTTACAAACTTTTAAAACTTTGATCGAAGATATCTCGGCAACCACTTGACCAAAATCGATGAATTTTTTTTTTATTTGAATTCTACGGATCTGTAGAATTCAAATAAAAAAATTTATTAATTTTGGTCAAGTGGTTGCCAAGATATTATCGATCAAAGTTTTGGTATGAATATTGGCGCAGTTATTTAAGTAATATAGGCATTTTAAAATTTTCAAAAACTTTGATCAAAGATATCTCGGCAACCACTTGACCAAAATTGATGAAATTTTTTTTATTTGAATTCCACGGATCTGTAGAATTCAAATAAAAAAAGTTCATCGATTTGGGTCAAGTGGTTGCTAAAATATCTTCAATCAAAGTTTTGGTATAAATATCGGCGCAGTTATTATTAAGTGATATAGGCGTTTTAAAATTTTCAAAACTTTGATAGAAGATATCTCAGCAATCACCTGACCAAAATCGATGAATTTTTTTATTTGAATTCTACGGATCTGTAGAATTCAAATAAAAAAAGTTCATCGATTTTGGTCAAGTGGTTGTTGAGATATCTTCGATCAAAGTTTTGGTATGAATATCAACGCAGTTATTATTATGTGATATAGGCATTTTAAAATTTTCAAAACCTTTGATCGAAGATATCTCAACAACCACTTAATCAAAATTGATAATCTTTTTTTTATTTGAATTCTACAGATCAGTAGAATTCAAATAAAAAATAATTTATCGATTTTGGTCAAGTGGTTGCTAAGATATCTTCAATCAAAGTTTTGGTATAAATATTGGTGCAGTTATTAAGTGATATAGGTGTTTTAAAATTTTTAAAAACTTTGATCAAAGATATCTCGGCAGCCACTTGACCAACTTGATAATCTTTTTTTTTATTTGAATTCTACAGATCTGTAGAATTCAAATAAAAAAATTCATCGATTTTAATCAAGTAGTTGCCAAGATATCTTCGATCAAGGTTTTGGTATGAATATTGGCGCAGTTATTAAGTGATATAGGCGTTTTAAAATTTTCAAAAACTTTGATCGAAGATATCTCGGCAACACGTGACCAAACTTGATAATCTTTTTTTATTTGAATTCTACAGATCTGTAGAATTCAAATAAAAAAAATTCATCGATTTTGGTCAAGTGGTTGCTGAGATATCTTCGATCAAAGTTTTGGTATGAATATTAGCACAGTTATTATTAAGTAATATAGGCGTTTTAAAATTTTCAAAACCCTTGATCGAAGATATCTCGGCAACCACTTGATCAAAATCGATAATCTTTTTTTTATTTGAATTCTACGGATCTGTAAAATTCAAATAAGAAAAAATTCATAAATTTCGGTCAAGTGATTGCTGAGATATCTTCAATCAAAGTTTTAAAAGTTTGTAAACAATAAAGTAACAAAATCGAAGGGATCTTCATGTAACCATGGTGCGAATAGCAATACCCAAAATATATAATACAATATATATATATATGTATAATAATAATAATATATACTATACATTATACTTACTATTATACATATACATAAAACATATAACATAATTAAACCGTAAAAATAATAATAATAATAATAATCAAAAAAAATAATAATAATAAAAAACAAAATATAAATAGTTAAGAAAATGACAATACAAACAAATTCGCACTATATATACATTCATATAAAAAAAAGCACCTTAGACACCTAACTATTCCAATCAAAAAAAAACAAAAACATTCACTATACTTAAAACACACAAAAAAAAAATGCCCATCCATGCTTCAATCGTCGTATTGTAACTACAAAAAATAAAAATAACTAATTTACACAAGACATGGCACAATACCAGCCCTCCAAAAATACTTTTGCAACTGTATACTGAAAACATTTCAATTAAACAAACAATGACTTCTCAGTAGGAGACATAGTATCTATCGCGAGAAAATTCGGTATAGAAAATTCAGAACAATTCATCACAATTGCCTTGGCTACAATAATAAATAAAAAAGATTCAAAGGATGAGTTTAATGCTAAAATTATTCTACTCAATACCCCACACTTAATGTTCATTACAACAATCACTTGAGAAGTAAAAACTTCAGGCAAAACTACCCATTTCAGAGTAGAAACACAAGAATATAACTTCTATACTGCAAATCACGATATTTATATGCCTATTACCATTTATTACCTGACACAATGCAGTAAATTTAACCACCTACGTGCCAATGTTAAAATCAACAAACTCTTAACAATATCTGGGTTCTTACATATAATCAAAACAACCATTACCATGGTAGAAGCGACAGATGTCAACTATCTCAGACAAGAGAACAGTTATAACACAACCAAAAAACCCCTCCAAACAACTACACAAGCCTTTATGGACTTAGATTGAATAGCCGATGAGATAAATGTTAAAACACCAACAACACAAAAGAAAAACAAGCCAGTCGACCCAAACATATCTAAAGAAAAAGATCTTAATTCAACTGACGAAGATGACAAAATAATTTCAAATGAAAAAAAAGGGAATCATACCACCACAATAAAGCCAACAATGATGAACAAGTACAAAAATTTCAAACAGAAGATGAAATAAGCACAAAATAAAAATAGAAAAGGTAAAAGAAAAATGTATCAACAAGATAATAATCAAGAAGAGCTCAATCAAGAATCCGATACAAATTATGACCTAAATAAAAAATTAAACGAAGATGAAATCAAAGTAAAAACAGAACCAAAAAAAATGAGAACGAGAAGAAGATAAATACCCAACTTAAATAAAAATAAATAGACAAAAGACTGCCAAAAAAAAAAAAAAAAATCTTATGCTTTTTCAAAACAGCACTTCTTTTTTCTATTCGATCTATTTTCTTTTTTGTATTAAAAAAACTAACACAATATCTTACTATCAGTAAAAAAAAAAGAATTTAAATAACATTATTATAAATACTTAGTGTAGCTATTTGTAAATAAACTAAAAGCTTTTTTACACTGAATAAAAAACATCAATTCATAACCAAATATTATATAATTACATGATACAATCACTAAAAAATATAACAGCATCCAATAATACTAAACTATAATATAAAGTCTTAAAACATAATTATCTTAAAAAGTAAAAAAAAAAAAAAAATGTAAATATACATACATCCGAATCACAAAACTAACGAACCTTACAAGCCTAATCGAATATATAGCAATTTTATAAAACAATAATTAAACTAATAATAATAACTTAAAACAATAATAACCTTAAGAATAAATATTCCTATAACAAATAATCTCCAACGCATTAAAAGCAAAAACAATTATAAACGGCCTGACCTAAAATTTTAATAATCACAACACGATTCAAAAAAAAAACCTCTTTTCAACTTAAAAACAATTAAATATACAAATTAAATTAACAAAAATACGTATTAAAAAAAATAAATAAAAATCAAAAATTAATCAAATATATATATATTAAACCCGAACTTTAAACTATTTTAAAACCAACACTAATAAAACTTTAAACATAACTAAGAACGACATAATTAAAACCATGATCCCTAAAGGGCGCCAGCGGCGCCCCAAAAAAACACTTGTATGAAATAAAAGGCTATTGTTAAAGGCAAGTTTCTTTTAGGATTTATTTTCTATCTCACTCTAAACGTATTCACAATATAGTATTTAACTTTCTGAGCCGTTACACTATATCTTGTAAGTGTAATTTCCTTTTATGAAACCCTTAAAACCGGTGATCAAAAGAAGGACACCATTGTAAAAGGGGATTGTCACATAAAGATGTCGATCACTAAAATTTTATAATGCAGTAAAAAATTTATCCCAGTGCTCACGTAGGTGCGTACGTCGATTTTTAATCAATGATCACGTCTAACATTACAGTATAACAAACTTATTTTTAAATATATGGTCTGATATAGCCTATAATATTTGACATCTACTGTAGCAAATGGGACTACCGCAAATGCAGGGATGGACTAATATATAGTCCAATCCCTTGCTTTTGTTGTGGACGTTACCAAATACAGGGGTCGTCTGAAGCCAGGTAGTAATTTATATGCATCATGTGATTTTTAATTTACAAATTTGTTAGTAATCAATTTAAAAACTACCTGGCTTTAGACGAGCTCCAAATACAGAAATAACATATGCGTATGTCTACAATTACATACGTTGTGAGCGGGGAACTGATCCGGAATCAGGAAATATGTGTGATACGGATACCAATCAACACTAAAACTAATCTAGCTAATACTCTAAACGAACTAAACTCTATCTAAACCCTAATATGGCAGGCTACGAAGGAGGCGTGGAAGACTTGGAACGAGTAACGAAAAGTATTCGCGTTACACAACTTAGTTTGATTTATATTTGGACTATGCTGGCAGATGATTTTTTGCCGGAGGTGATATTTTATTGAATTTATATTAGCAGAATACATGGAGAAAGCGAGAAACTGACCGAGTTGGCCAGAATGGTAGAGGCCTCCCGCGATAAAAGCAATCGTAATTGCACTGGGAGTCTCTGTAGGATTAGCCGGTGGGGTTATTCCCCGCCTGCCGAAGCAAGCCGGCTGCAAATGAAGAAATGACGGAATCACGTGTCTTCTTGTTTATATATATATTATTATTATTATTATTATTTTGGACTTTTTATCTCTTCTCACTTTCCGGGAGGGTTGGGTGGGTAGCAAGGGTTTCGCTCTGACGATCATTCAGCGCCGTGGGAGCTTGAATTTCCTTCCGCTTGCATTTATACTCAACTTACCTGTTTCCTAATCCTGATTTCTTGCGCCAGGCATATGTCATTTCATTGTTGCCCCCATTTGTTTCATCTTCCCACGCCCCCCTTCATTCTGTATTTGTCCTGTGATCTTCATGCGCGAGTTGAAGCGTACGTGATTACCCCGTGATAATGTGTGGCGTAAAGATTGTGTGCTTCTCTAACGTTAGTAGCTCACCCACAAAAAATTTTCCTGTCATGTGACTTTTTTATGGCACTAGCCAATTATATTTCAAGAT